ATTGGGAGGACCAGAGGGATGCAGCCAGTCAATACTGGAGCCAGGAGAAGGAGGAGGACTGATAGCAGCTGGAACAGAGACGATGTTGTCATTTTGATTCATAAAAACACTGTTTACAGTTTGAACATTTCCAACTTTGAAACCAGCCATGTGTTGAAACCATACCCAATGTGGTTAGACAGGCTCCTTGCACATTTAACCTGAGCTGGTGTCTCTCTCAGACAGAGGGATATACTGGTTGAATGTAATACCTCAGTTCAAAGATTTTTTTAAATGTCTTTACAAAATGAGGATTTACCAACTGGAAAAGTACTTTGGAGGACAGGGGACTGACTAAGATTCACAGTAAATAATGTCTATTCAGATATAACATAAACTCACATTTAATTAAAACATATGTAAGGTAGTGTTAGGCAGCCAGAGATAAAGACCTGGAGGGAAGCTCTGAATAGTGTGAAACTGGTGACAAACTTGTGTCACCACACAATATTTTAAATAATCTTACTGAAGCTGCTGACAAACTAAAACTACTGATAAACACTTAAAGTTAGTTACTAACTTACCTTCATGGTCAGATTTCTGCTGAATTGAGCTGATGGAAATCCTGATGTCAGTGTCTCTGGACGCTCTGATGTCTCTGATTATTTATATTCCAAAGATCCCATTTACTCAATAGCTGCTGTTTCACAACGATAAGGTGCATATGTATTATATGTCCTTGAGTGTGTGTGACTTTGGATTACACAATGTTGGCACCAAACCTGACCAGCAGTATGGGGCAGTCCAATCCAACTGTTGCCTCATGCCATAAAGTTGACTTTGGAATGCAGTTATATTTAAAAGATGTGTATTCATCAAATGCAATGACTTTAGGTCCAAGTGACGCTGAGAGGATGATTGCTGTGCATATTAGTTTGGTGGTGAGGCTTCAATAAAAGTCCCTAGTTCATCCGTATATGGATCTAAGATTACTGACTGATGTTCCTGTAGTGCCAGACAGCGTAGTGGATGTGTAGATCAGAAGCCTGGAAAAATGATCCATCCTGCGGATAAGTGCAAGGACTGGTCCAAAGATTATATATCAAAAATATGTTAATATCAAAACATAGGAGGCTAACATCGTGGCGTGACATCAGGATTTCCATCAGCTCAATTCAGCAGAAATCTGACCATGAAGGAGTGAAATGCATGATAGTCTACAGGCCACCCAAACGATGCTCTTCTTTTATTTTAAATTTCTCCTGTCAATTATCCACAACCTTTATAACAGAATTCTTATTTAAGGTGATTTTAACTCTTTTGCTTTAACATTTGTAAATCTACTCAACTGTATGAATCTTATTAGGTCACACTTTAGGCCTTGTAATAACCCACAGCCTGTCTGCCAGTATCTCTTCAGCTGTGGATATAGAAATCTCACTTCTGTGTCTTTTTTATTGTCAATGGTTTTATACAACAGGATATTCCAGAGCGAACTGTTAGAAAGTGCTATCAAACTGCTAAAGTGAACATAGCTCTAGAGTTTACACCGTTATAATGTTACACATTATAGCTTCAAGTCAACATATAATGTCAATGAGGGTCCCCACAAGAATAGCAGAACAAATGTGTTTCCTGTGCAGGTTGGACTGTCCTTAATCTCTTTATATAAGCACTTGTGTAATTCACTTTTCAGTGTGGCCCGTAATCCTCCTCCTCCCCCTCCTGACAGCATCATGGTTTAATCCACAAATGATGACATCACTGTCGTTCTTTGGCAGAAAAGCACAGAAACAGACCGTCACACATGCAGAAGATAATTGATGCATGTACATAAATACATACAGTATATAACAGTGGAAATATATAACACATTTACTGATGCCATAAAATGTAAGCAGCCTTTTATTGTGAAGTTACTTTGAACTATGGTGTGACCCTGCTCATGTTCTGTCTCTCTGATTAAACCTTCCCTCCGCACTGTGGGTGAAACCTGGCCTCCAAATTAAACAAAGACACGTTGACAAGACTAGAGAGCCGTCACTTCAAAAAAACCTCAGTTTAGTGGCAGGACTAATTACATCGTAAGTAACAAAATCTATCAGACAAAGTAGTGGTGAAACAGTAGAAAGTTGCATAAAATGAAAATACTCGAGTAAAGTACAAGGAGGAGGAATGTGTACTAAAGGGTCCAGTGTGTAACACTGAGGAGGATCTATTGTCATTAGTATGTTGTATGTTTTCATTAGTGTATAATCACATCTGAAAATAAGAATCCAGTTGGTTGCAACCCACGCCACCGCTAAAGGTCACTAAATCAGACACACTGGTCCTTTATGTACAGCAATAAATGATCATATTGCTTTAACTGTACTCTACAGAGCAAAAAGGATCATTGGTTTGGAGGGGTGTTTAGAGTTTGTCCAATATTCACTGTCTTGTAGTTTTTGCGTTAGGGTTGTTAAATGCTCCACTATGTTCACCAGCAAGTCTCTGTGTCCGTCTGCTGTTTGCTGCACAGCAGGTACTCTACTTTTTACTGCTGTTTTCTCTGAAAAAGATGCTCTGAGATAAAGTTGTATCAATGAGCTCAAAGTCACTATAAAGGTGTGTAAAGTGGAGGAGAGTTGCAGATTATTATTCACCACACATTTTCAGTTCATACATTGTTATAAAATACTCATTAGAGCTGCTAAAAGTTTTCTATTCAATTAGAAAAAAAGAAAAAATCTCTCTCTCTCTCTCTGTCTTTCTCACTGTCACTCTCTCAATAATCATCCCGTGACCTCACTAAAGCAGAGAGAGAGACAGAGGGGGAGAGAGAGAGAGAGAGAGCAGCTGTCAGACAGACTGATTGGAAACAAACTGAAGCTTCACATTCAGCTGTTAAACTGATGGGTTTCCATCTTGTTTTTGACTCTGTTATGCTGACGTTGTCGTCGCTGTGATTTACTGGTTTTTCTGTTTGGATATAAACATGATGGAGCCTCCTCACAGCAGCCTGAACAGTCTGAGTGTGGAGCTGAAGAGTCTGCAGCTGTGTGACAGGGAAGGTCAGTGAATAATGGGTGTGTGACCCATTATCATTGTAGGCTGACACATCAGTTTCTTTGTATTGGTTTTGTGCATAGTTAATTTGTATCTCTGTGGTTGTTTTATGTCTCTTTGTAGCGATGTTGTGTCTTTTTGTTTTTGTGTGTCTTTGTGGCATCTTATCTTGAGACACAAAATGACTACAAACGCTGATGCATGATATATCAGTAAAATTAGGAAAAGTAACATTATTTATTACATTATTATAAACTAAGGATTTAGGACTGATCGGATCATGCACCAGAGGTCAGCTAATAAATCTGCTGGTAAATGAGCTGAAGTTGCTGGATACTTTACAGCTGCTCAAACAGTACAAGTATATACCTACAGGAAATGCTTCAGAACCCGCTGGTTCTTTGTGAGTCTCAGTGTGTTGTGTTACCGTTATTGAACGTTGTTGAAGCAATGACTGAGGCGTTCAGGGGAACCAGAGCGAGGAGGAAACTCTGCTGGTTCTGTTGTTCAGATGAATCCTGCTGCTGTCATATGTCAGAATTCCAAAACCTCAATTAGCCTGAAGGAGAAACTAAAACTTTCACAGTGTGCAGGAGCACAGCACAGCTTTTAAACAAGTGCTTAAAACAGACTGAGTGGACTTTTATCTAAAGACAAAACAACTGCTCTGGATCACTTGTGTGCAGTATTTACTGCTCCAGACCTCCTGGTGGTGCAGTTACTAAAATATGTAGATCTATAAAACCATGTGGCGCACACCAGTAGGAAGGCTTCTTGTAAATAACTACCTGCAGTGAATTGTGTGCACCTACCCTTCCCAGTGTCTTTGCATAATCTATAAATCTGTAAACGGTCAATGCTAAACGGCTCATGAATATGCAAATGTATTTAAGGAGCCTTTGTTGGACTATCAATAAGGGAAAGATGGAGCAGTTTAGTATTTGTGGAAGGTCATTGTGCTCTCTCTAGAACAGAGTCCCTAAGAGATTACGTTTTCCAGCTTCAGCTTCCAGAGATGGTGAAAGACCATTAAGCAGCAGAAGAGGATATATTGTGTATGTCCACCTATACCTATGGAGTTTACCAGATGTTTGTAATTGTATTTAGATAATTTACTGTAGCACAATTACCAGACAGTACCACACTGTGTAAATTCTCCATTTCAAGTAAAAGTCCAGCATTTAAAATTTGATTGAAGTAAAAGTATGTATGTCTAAGTATTATCTCCGAAATGTATCAAAGTAAAGTAATGGTCATTGCTATATCATTACAGTATTGGATCATTAGTATTGATACAATACTACAAGCTGTAATTTAATCTTGTAGTTGAACTGCAGTTTATATACTTCTACATAGTTTAATATAAAACAATACATCATATTTATGTTTTCTGCGTAAAATCAGAAAAATCAAATGTAAAAGTAAAAAGGTGTCAGATAAAAGTATGATATTTTACTCTTGAGATGTAGTGGAATAGAAAGTGAGAAGTACTTTAAATCAGACATGCACTGTTTCCACACAGCTGACTGAGGATGATCTAAGTCTTTGCTCTGAGCAGCGCAGCAGTTTACAGACTGCATCAGATTAGCATCAGGATCCGCCTGAGTTCAGAAGGCTTCATAGAAAAAGTCGAGTTTTGGAATTCCTGCATCCAGTGAAGGTCTCTCAGCTCAGACAGTTTCCAAAGGTCCAACATACACAAGTTAGCTGGATGCTGCTTTACATTTGTCTGCAAGTTCAGAGACTGAAACGGCCAACTGGTCAGTGGCCCTCTGCTTCAGAGTGTGACGCTGTAGGTTTCCTTCTATAGTCATTTCTAGACACGCAGGGTCCAGCTAGCAACAGCTGCTCTCGTGTGATTAACGTTGTGAAACAGTTACAGTTTGGTTAGGTTTAGGAAGAAGATTACTTGAATATGTAGTTAGGTGACGTATGGCTCAACACGGGGGACTCCTGTGATTGGTAAAATTTGTGAAAAGGTTGGAGTGATTGGACAAAATTGCAAGGTTGCGGAGAATTCACAGGATTGGTTGAATTTGCAATAATGTGACAGTCATTGTTGGCAATGAGAATATTCTAATAAATAAAACTGGAAATGATAATAATATAATAATAAAATCTGAACTGAGGCGACCGAAAGAGAATGAACACAACTTGCTAGCCTGTTTTACAATAGGTTAGTGTTGAACCCAGTTAACATTACAATAGTTAGCCTGCAGTATTTCTGTTGTGGACTGAAATCTGGCAGCAGCTTCAGTCTGATAGATCTGCAGAGATCTCTGTGGCTAATTACCTTCTCAGGGTGGATGAATAGATGTTTCACCTCCTCCATTAACTGAAAGGATGGGGGGATGAGGAGGAGGAGGGGGGGAGCTCAGTTGGACTTTCCCCAGTCATTCCTGATCAATCAAGAGCAACCGGTTATGTAAACAGGGAGAGTAAACTAAACTGAGCCTGTTTCAGGTTGTAGTGGATTTTAATAACATTTTCATTGCATGTGTGGTATCAGTACTTGTACTGTAGTAAAGGATCTAAATTCTTGTGTATACTAGGTGTACAGCACAACATGTTTAATTTAAAGGCTCATTACTAAAAACTACAAACCTTTTCCTCCATGTGGCCCCTGGAATAAAAAGTTTGGACACCCCTGATTTAATGAGTTTCCTGTTGAAAACATCTGATGCGAGTCGTAACAAGATGTTACGCTGGCAGTTTGAACTGTCCTACGCCTCCTCAACAGGCTCCTTGTTCAGCCTGCAAGCTCTCTGAGTCTCTGCTAACTGAAGCCTTTTGTCCTCTGAGGCGAACTCTGGAGAGAGGAGGGAGGGATGGAGACAGAGAGAGAGAGAGAAAGAGAGACAGAGACAGAGACAGAGAGAGAGAGACAGACAGAGAAACAGAGACAGAGAGAACTTCAGGAATACAATAATACGTCACCCCAGCACTCTCTTATGACCAAATACCTGCAGAATCTGATGGTATTTTCAGCAGCCTCTACTTTGTGTTTACTGATAATTAGGCAAAAAGTTAGCATGCTAATGCTGACAACGAAAAAAAGATAAATGTGGGAAAACATATACAGCATGTTTAGCACTGTCATTTTGATCATGCTATCATTTTGGAGTTCACATTGCACGCTGCTGTCTCAGGAATGAACACAAACTGGAATGAAATGCTGCGTTAACATTACAACTTTAGCAGTTTAAGGTTTTCTGTATTCCATCCGTCTCATGTATCTAACCTGCGTTTACCTCGTCTCTCTCTCTCTCTCTCCTCGTGTCTTTCTCTGTTGCTCTCTCTCTCTCTCTTTCTCTTGCGGGTCTGGCTCTGCTCTCTTCTGTCTCTCATGCTCGCTCTCTCGCGGTTCTCGTTCTTCTGTCGTGCTCTCTCCTCTCTGTCTGTCTGTCCGCCCGTGGATCTTCTCGGTCTCTCTCTGCTCTTGTCTTCTCTGTCTGGTCGTCTCTCTCTGCTCTCTCTCTGTCCTCTCTCTCTCCTCGTCTGGTCTCTCTCTCTTCGTGTCTCTCTCCTCTTGTCCGGTGTCTGTCTCTCTCTCTGTCTTCTCTCCTCTGTCTGTCTTTCTGTCTCTCTCTCTCTCTCTCTCTCTCTTTGTCTCTCTCTCTCTGTCTGGTCTCTTCTTCTCTCTCTCTCTCCCTTCCTTGTGGGTCTGGAATATATATATTATATATTTTGTGAACCTGTATCTCTCTCTGTTCTCTCTGTCTCTGTTTCTCTGTGCTGTCCTGTCTCGTCTCTGTCTCTCTCTCTCTCGTGGTCGTGTCTCTCGTCTCTCTGTCTCTCTCTGTCTCTCTCGTCTCTCTGTCTGTCTCTCTCTCTCTGTCTCTCTCTCTCTGTTCTCTCTTCTCTCTGTCTGTCTCTCCTTCTGGTCTGCGCTCTCTCGGTCTGTCTCTCGTCTCTGTCTGTCTCTCTCCTCTCTGTTCTGTCTCCTCTCCTCTGTCTCTCGTGTTCCGTCTCGTCTCTCT